CTCGCCTCCCTCTACTGGAAACTCCGAAAACGGAGACATGCACACCGTCATGGAGAACTTCCAGAAGAAGAACAACCTGGTGACCGGCAGGACACACGTCACTCATCATCCGCAGGTCACTACGTCGTCGCAGGTGCTTATCTACTGCCTCTTCCCTCTTCTTCCTCCGTCTTTTTTCTCTGGTCGCTGGTCGCAAATATTTGCAGGCACTGCGGGAGTGTCGCGATTCCGCGAAAAAAAAGTAAAAGATATCCCTGCGTCACGCATATTTCCGCACGCGCGCGCGAGCGAGCCTCGTGCATGTTTTCGTGTACCTTCCGCTAATTAGCACCGCACCGTGCAAGAACGCTCTTAACGGTCTCTAGGTGGCTAGGTTCTAACAGCAAAAAATGCTCTTTTACGAGCTCGCGGATTCTCGATTTTTTCGAATCATCCATGTGAGTTTTGTGAATTCGTCGGAATTTGTTGGCGTTGTTGTTGTCGTCGATGCGGAATTGTCGAGACGCGGAGAGTGTGTTCACGGAATCGCCCGCGCCGCTTCGGAGAAGATACACGATTGTGTGTCACCTTTCTGAGTGAGTGTTTCTTCTAAGCTCGCGAGGATTAGCCCGGATTAACCGCGCCGAGCGGCTCTACGTCACGAGCGGCAAGTTGCTAGAAGCGCGCGACTTTAGGAACCGCGACCGCCTCCGCCTCCGAGACAGATTTCCTGAAAGCGCGATCGCGACGATTTCGAAAATTTCGAATTATTCAGCCGTCGTGCGTATTCAGCGATATCGGCGATCGTCATCCGCTAGAACTGCCGAAAATTCAGTTCCAAGCACAAACTAACCGCGCGTGCGCGATTCTCGTGCGAAACGTTGTTCTCTCATGTCGCAAAATTCCGCGAGATTCCCGATCTCTTTGGGAACTTTGTCTCTGAAGATGAAATTTGACTCTGTGATGTTGGGGGTTTTTTGTATATCGATGAGAGACACATAAATATCTCAGCGCTTTGTATCCTACATCTTCCCGTCGATACAACTCGGAAGGCAGACGAGAGCATCCTTAACCGAGCGCCGAGTGTGTTGTTCTGCACGCGGCTCACCACGGCTCCTTGACCCCGCGACGCGGTGCCGCGGTACACGGCACGTGACGTGTACGTCCAATGTTGAAGTGGCTCTTCCACTCTCATCGGCTGACATCTTCTATCATCGAGTCGGCGGCGGCGTTCAACGACTACGATCGCTGATTCGATCGTGACATTTTGCGCAACTCGCGTTGCGGTCGCCCACGTGTGTTCTTTTCCCCGCTGCGGGCTGGCTTCTCGCAATCGAACCTGTGTGAACCTTGATTGACCACCATTCGTTTCAAGGTGTCCCTTCTCTCCTGCCTCCCTTTTTTCCTTTGCCTTTCTTTCTTTCTTTCTTTCTTTCTTTCTTTCTTTCTTGAGAGAGAGAGAGAGAGAGAGAGAGAGAGAGAGAGAGAGAGAGAGAGAGAGAGAGAGAGAGAACGTTGCCTCTTTCTAAATTTACTCGGGTTTTCCTTTCCGCGTACGCGTACGCGCGGCCTCGGCGTCATCTTGTGTCCCGACTCCTGGCCGCCTGCCAGCTGTCAATTTCTGCTTGCTGTCATTCGACAGACTCGTACGAATGCTACTTACCTCCCTCACCCTCTCTCTCTCTCTCTCTCTCTCTTTCTCGCGCGCGCGCGCGCGCGCGAAATTGCGTGCATTTGAAACGTGTCGTGTTGACAATTGTACAAATCGCGGCGCTCGGCGGGGTCGATTTGCTCGTGACATCGAGACATCGGGCCGGAACACGAGCAGTGAGTGTCTCACGCGTGAAGTACACGTACATTCGTACGTATGTATTTGTACATACAGCACAATTATATGTGGCAATATATAAATACAATTTCGAACGGTGAGGTAAAACGATGAGAAGAAAGAGATAGAGATAGAACTCGCAAGGCGCGCGAGTGAGCGGACGCGAAAGTGAGTCATCTCAGGTGGATCTTAAATAGAACGAAAACGGCTCTTGACTCGCCAGATGCTGACGACGAATCAGAGTCAGAGCAGTAGCAGCAGCAGCAGCAGCAGCACCAGCACCAGCACCAGCAGCTCGAGCAGGGTGGCCAAGTCCTCGCAGAGGATCCTCACCTCGTCCTCGTCGAGTGAGATGAAAGCGAGCTCCATGAAGAGCGACCTGACCGAACTCAAGCGTGGCATCTCCGAGATGAAGAACATGTCCACCAACTTCTCGCAGCGGTTGCGCAGCAGCATGGAGAACCTTGTAGACAGGTTGGTTCCAGAAGTAGAAATCAGTCGTCGATAAGAAATCCTCGGACGACACATCGGAGTGTCTTTGTTGTTGGTCTTACGAAGGGAGGAGTGTTTACAGTGGCTGGCGAGTTTAAAACCACTTTCGAAAACTTCACAAAGTGAGTTTCGAAAGTGAGTCCGATCAAAATGGCCACGCTTTCGTGGGAACACACGTGGACACGCGCGCTCCTTTTCGCTTGAAGCTTCTCTCGTGGAGAAACGATTCGTCCGCGGTTAGGTACTTTACTTTACGGAATGTTCAGAGAGGACTCTCTGGACTCTCTCATCGGTCGGTTGGTGAATATCAACGCGTACACGCGTCAATCGGGCCGATTTCCACGGGACGATCTTGACGGGTTTCGCCTCGCCTCGCTTCGCCGCGTCGTTTCGCGCGTTTCGCACGAAGCGCGAGGAAATGTCGCGCCGAGACGCGATTGTTGTGACGCGACGGAGTAGGCCCTCACGGAACTTCCTCTTGAACTTTCCAGAGACGGCAATGTGCCCGAGGAAAGAGACTTGACGGAGCCGCTGGTGACGTTTCCAGACCCGGACACTCCTCCGCCCGTCAGCGACGCTGTCACGTTGACAGGCGGTTCCCCGTCACAGTTGAGCACGTTGAATTCCCTGAACAATCTTCACGGCATGAGTCCGCCGATCAACATATCGAATATACCGAACATGGCGAATTTACCTGCTGGTCAGGAAACGATGAAGTTCGAACAGAAGAAGATGACTAGTGCCTCCAAGACGAAGGTGATGCTTCTCTCTCTCTCTCTCTCTCTCTCTCTCTCTCTCTCTCTCTCTCTCTCTCTCTCTCTCTCTCTCTCTCTCTCTCTCTCTCTCTCTCTCTCTCTCTCTCTCTCTCGCTTTCATCGTGACGTTTTTCTCGTCTCTTTTCGACCATTTTCTCATTTGACGTTTCCTCACGGAAGATTTTTACAATTATCTTTGTATTAACGGTTATATTAGCTTTATATTAACATGGCTATTTACTTCCATTTACTACCATTTGAGAGTTTTTTCAAATTTTATCAGTGGTCAGCATGAGCAATTTATTGGAGAATCTCTCTCTCTCTCTCTCTCTCTCCTCTCTCTCTCTTATTATTAATCCTGATAAAAATAATAAAATTTTACTCTTTTCTTATCAAGATACATCTGATTTGGTTTTCGCACGGAACAATTTATTGTCTTTATATCAACGGTAATTTTATTTCACCTTGTTTGAAAGCGCGATTTTTTATCGGTCGTCAATTTATTCAAGAACTTTTTATTATTAATCCTGATAAGAACGAAACGCGCGTCGCGCGATAAGAATCATGCATAAAACGGTTCGGGGCCGGGAACTCGCCGATCGAATCGCGTTTGCTGCGTCCGACGATAATGTTAGACGCGCAAAGCAGAGCTGCGCAATGTTTGTCCTGAGGTGCGGCTTCCTCTAGGTAGTCTAGGTCAAGGCCTGCGAGTCTGCCTCCAGGTAAAGCATCACGCGCAGCAAAACATCAAACCTTTACTCCATGTCGGAATATCAGGATGTTGGAGAAAAATTCTCTCTATTCTTTGAATTTCGAGAAATTAGGTTAATCCTTTTGTGGAAGAAGACGTTTCCAGCCGAATTTTGAGAAGAAATTCAGAGACTCGCTCCGTCCCTCCCTCTATCCTCTCTCTCTCTCTCTCTCTCTCTCTCTCTCTCTCTCTCTCTCTCTCTCTCTCTCTCATTCTCTCATTTTTTCATTCTCTCATTCTCTTATTCTCTTTCCCCTTCACAACGAACGACAATGTCGTCGTTTCTCGTTTCTCCTTTTGCGCCTAATTATCGATTTGTTTTTATTAGGTGGTCACGGATGGATTTAGCGCCGAGAAGGCGACAGCGAACAGCGCCGAGATGAGAGCCCTTCAAGCTGGCGACGTGTCATACAAAGAACAGAGCGCCGCGACGGCGGCGAGGGCGCGCGTCGAGCTAGACGGCGTTTCTGCGGAGAAGAGCGTCGCTTCCGCGAGGGTGAGTAAAACTGTCTGAATAAAGAAGCAGCGGCTGACACAGTATTATAAGCCTGCACGCAGCGAATCCGGACGCTGATTCAAGAGCGACACGTACGAGGACACGATCTTGCACAACGGTGCAAAGGATAGAGAAATAGCATAACGAGGCATAACGCGGCACCCGGATGAATCTACAATCGGCGTCAGGCGAGCGTCGTGCTGGGCGTTTAATGGCAGCAATTAAAGACTCGCGCGTTCTTGTGCAAATAATGTGCGCGTTTCTAATGAAAAAGTCGACGCAAACGCAAGCGTGGGTGGACAAAGGAGAATCCTCCAAGGCTCCAAGGCGCGCGCGCGCGAGCCTGACCTTTCTCGTTTGGGTGACAAAAGGATTGGGCGGGGGATAGCTGTCTTCCTCCTGCTCGCTCCTCATTCTTCCCTCCTCCCAAACTCATTCCGCCGCCTCTCTTTCTCTCTGGGTGCGGCTCGCGCGCGGAATAATTTGGCACGAGGCTCGCGACGGAAACCGCGCGAATAAAGCGTGCTATCGCCATCGGTCGTTGACACGCGCGTCGCGTCTTCCTCGACGCGGTGTTTCTCTGCCGCGCGTCGACAATCAGCTGCGCTGCGGCTGACTGTCGCGAATAGCCTGCCGCGCCGGAACTGGTTCCGGCGAATAGTTTGGTTTTCGATTAAATCTGAAACGAGTGAAATCGATGTCTAAACGATGTCTAAAGAAGAGTTTAATCGACAAAGTGAACAAGAGCGGACGAGTAGACAAGAATAGACGATCGCGAAAGACAGAGTGTGTGTGTGTGTGTGTGTGTGTGTGTGTGAGAGAGAGAGAGAGAGAGAGAGAGAGAGAGAGAGAGAGAGAGAGAGAGAGAGAGAGAGAGAGAGATTAACATCCGCGTTGCGATAATTTGTAGATTAAACGCGTAGAAACTGGACCGTCGAGGCTGGTTGAGTGGCGAGATATCATGTGTGTGTGTGTGTGTGTGTGTATGTATGTGTGATGTTCGCATTGGAGCTTTCGTATCGCGAGTATTTACGGGTGGACGCGTCATCTAAATTTAGGGCGAATACGAATTCAGCTAGTCGACTACGTGGCCTCTTGAGTCAGCGCGTGTGGACAGCATTTTTGAATGCGAGCCAATGACTCTCCTCCTCATCCGAGCGCGCGCGCGCGTGCGAGAGAGAGAGAGAGAGAGAGAGAGAGAGAGAGAGAGAGAGAGAGAGAGAGAGAGAGAGAGAGCGCGGTATCTCGATTACGAGATTACTCGAACTTTCCGTCGCTCGGTCGCGCGTACGTGTATGCATACGCTTGCGATAGCTCGCGCGCTCTCATCTCTTTTGCGAAATCATCGCCTTGGCTGATAGTCAAGGTTGAGATTATGCTCGTCGCTCGGACGAGCGAGGCGTGCGGAACGGCGATTCGTCGTTATTCGGCGAAAACCGAGGCGCCGAGGCTCGAGGAGACGCGCCTCGTGTTGCCGATTTTTTTCAGCGCGATTTCACTGGAAACGTGCGTGTCTCAGATCCTCCAAGTCGCATCAAAGAAAAAGTACCAATGCCTGCTCGCCTGACAGACATGTGCCTGACTTCCCGAATATTCTTATTATCTTGGTCCGTAAATACATATTATATTTAAACATCTATTGAATGCTGCACATATATTCTACGTTAAAATTACGTAAAATGTTTATATTTTTGGTGACTAAAGGATATAGGAGTATCCAGGAGCACAGTGCACACGTCTCACATGTCTTCCGAGTCTTTGAGATCGTGTTACTTCAGTCAGTTCTTATTATTGCTTATTATATTCAATACTTTGCGCAAACATCATTTTACATTTGTTACTTTTGTCCGACTGGAAAAGTGCTCGATGCAGCTCGACTCAGCTTTCGCACGTTGCTTCGATCCAATTCGCAGAAAGACAGTAGATGCGTCCGAAACGCGTTTCCTCGTTGATGCCGCGCGCTTGTACGCGCTCGTACGCGCTCGTACGCGCTCGTACGCGTGACTCGCGTCGCGAGCCACAGCGACGCGAGTCGCTCTGAGAGTCAGCTCGTAAGGATGGTAAATCTTCGTGTTTCCCGGGAATATGTACTCGCTCGCTCGCTCGCTCGCTCGCACGTGCGTGCGTGCGTGCGTGCGTGCGTGCGTGCGTTCGGCTCGAAACATTGTAACGTTGTTGCGTGCCGCTTCTCGTTGTACTTCGTGGGCGTGCTGGTCTCATTATTTTGACGAGCGCGCAAGCCCGTGTTATCCTTGACCCGCCGACGTCGTCGGCCTTGCGGGGCCCATGTGTCAAACGCGAGTTTGTCTCTGGCACTCCTGCGTGTCGCGATACAACACCATCTCTCATCGCTCCGAAATCGCACCTCGGCCGGAAATATCGATGCCTCGTGACTCGCTTCGGACGTCGGCGGTTATTAGCGGAGAGCTGGACGTGCCTTCGCTTAAGGTCGCGATTTATCGAGTCGGGGGCGATACGCGCGCGCCCCCGCCTCATGTCCCCCGCGTGTATGTGTGCGTGCATGCGCGTCTGATAAGTGCATTCCGATGCACATTTATCTGTACGTTTCGCGACTTGCTCGGCAGATGTCAGCAGATCCAAGTGAAACCACGCTCTCTCGTCGAGACGAGAGAACGTCTATAACGTGCGCCGAAATCGGGTAAGAGTAAAATCGGGCGTAAAGTCGCAGCGAACAGCACCGCGGGTCGCCGCGCCGCGCCGCGCCGTCGCCCGGCTGTCGCGAAAACGGCTGCTCGGCGACGAAAAGATTGCGACGTTTGTTCAATTTGATATGACTTTCAGTAGATGAGCGAAAATGGTCGTTCGACCAGTCTTTGTCTGTTCGTCGTGAGTCTGCGCGTCACGGAGAGATATGTCGCAGGCTTTTTATCATAACGTGAGTCGACTCGCGGTTGGTCTTTGTTTTTTCGAGTCTAGTCTCGATTCCGATATCGTTGTTGACTCGCTGTTGATTGTCAGCGAGATCAATCAAGAGAGGCGCGCGATGCATGTGTACGAGACGAGAATCTGGTCGTGAATTCAGGAGAATCTCCGCGTATTGAGAACGATTCTCCTGAGTATCGCGAACGGAATAATGATGCCGATAACTTTTCAGTCCCTCAGTTATTTCGGCTGTTCTTTCGAAAATTCTTTCCATGCCTTAGACTTAGCTCGGACTTAGCTTTGTAAATAGGTGGCGCGTTCCTTCTAGGTGATAAAGAAGTATAGACAGAAGGTTTTTTGGAAAAGTCGAGTAACTTTCTCGACAATTATTCGTAATTTGGCTGTTGTTCCGAAAACGGTCATGCTCCAATTTAGCTCGGATTCAAAGCCGAGCTTTGCCGCAATTTCATTCGCAATTCGAAAACAACGACGGCATGGACGCCATCAGAGCCGCCATACCGTTGGGCAAACGCGGAAAAAGTCACGTTCCTTCTCTTTCTCTTCGAGACATGAACACGAAAACTACCCAACTACATCAGCAAAGTCCCTCCCCCCCCCTCCCCCGTACCGTTACCGTTTTCTTTTCCACGAAAATTACCATTCTCGTTTCTTCCATGACGCATGACGGCGGCGGGGAGGGGGAAGGGGGTAGTCAGGCGAGATAGCCAAGGCAAAGGCGACGCGCGACCCCCGGGTCGATAAGCCGCCACCCTCTTCGAGGACGCTTCGCGAGGGCGAACCGCAGTTTGTGCGCGACGCGTTGCTGGTTGTCGTCGGTTGGCCGGTTCGCGCATCGCGTGTTGACGGTTACATGGGACATCAATTATCGAGACTGGCGCGAAGCCTTTTGCCCAGTCTGAGATCCCATAACCACCACCACCATCATCAGCACCCCCGTCATACCCGAGTCCTCGGGGTTTCGCAGATGGTACGATTCGATGCCCTGGGAATTATATCATTGAACGGACGGGCGAAAGCACGACACGAAAGCGTGACTTTCCGTGATTCTTTCCCGCTGAGAAACCACGAGCGAGAAACAATGTGCTTTGACACTCGCGCCACCCCTACGTGGGGTGGCCCACCCACGTTGTGTTTCCTCTGACTCTCCGGCCGGTTTGTCGCTCTCGGATCTTTCAGAGATCGGATCCCTCAGAGACACCGCACACCTACGGAAACGAGAGTGCTGCTTAATATAATAGAACGGCCAACGTGCGTTTCGTCAGCGCGGCCAATTGTTGTTGTTGTTGTTGTTGTCTAGTTGTTGCGCTAGTTGTCAGCTGCACATTCAGCAGTTCGCTCCGCTTCGCGACGAGACGGGACGTGAGATTTCGTCGTTTAGATTTCGGTGAAGAGGGTGGAGCTCTGCCAGGAGACGACGACGTCGAAGAGTTACTAGGTACTCGCCGATATCTGGCTGGAACCGAAATAGAGCACTCACGGTTAGCGAAGCAAATTGCCAGCCGCGATCGACCGCGACGTTCTCCAAGGACGCGCGTCGCGGGGGAAGTATACGAAGGCCGCGGGAGGTCTTTCTTTTTTCTCGCGATAGATCGACGCGACACCGGCATCGAAACCGGCGAGACCGGCGGCGGTACAGATCGTGCGCTGATAAGAGCTCAATAAGGATACGATAAGTGTCGGGCGTTTTGGAAAAGAGTCGTCGACGTGAGCCGTCGACTCAACGTCAGCGTGACGTCAACGGCTGCATCTCGACTTCGATGCGACTCGTGCAGAAATGCACGTTGATATTGAGCGTACGAATGAGGATAGCGCCTATAATATTGGTGTACTACACAGGATTGCAGAAATACATAGAGGGCAGGGCTGTAAGATTCTGGTGCGAATTTCTCTCGGTTAATTTTCGATCGATTTAGAATCGGTTTCCTTGATCGAAATGTCGAAGTACTTAAAAATGTTCAATTAACAAGTTATTTTTCAATATAGTATATGTAAGTGTGTGTGTGTGTGTGTGTGTGAGAAAAATTTTGGGGCAAGAATGCATAAATCGCGTTTAATTTCGTTCAATTAAATATTGCAGATAACGTAATCTCGCTGGAGCTCTCTCTCTCTCTCTCTCTCTCTCTCTCTCTCTCTCTCGCGCGCACTTTCTGGTCATGTAAATTCAAAAAACAGTAAACTGCGGAGTTGCGAATGATATAGATCAGGGTTTTTCGGTGTCTTTGATGTCGTCAGCGAGTGCGAAACGGATTGAACGAGTCATTCGCGAGTGACTCGCGCAAACTATTTCTAGGAGTCGAAAAATAGCCACGGTGCAACTAGGAGCGATAACCGTTAAAAAACGGTTACACCGATTACGTGACACAAAATGCATCTCTCTGCCTTTTCCCCCGCCATCTTCTGTCTCTTTCTCTCTCTCCCCCTGCTTCGGTGCAACGTGTACAGTGGGCGTAGCGAAATTAAACTGTCGGGGTGGTGAATCGCACTTTAAACGCAACCGAGATTAGTTCGTGCCGCGCTGCCATCACGCTCGCGACCGCAGTAATCTCCGCATAGCTCCGTCATCGACAGCTCGATCGTGAACCACGTACCCCGCCTCTCTCTCTCTCTCTCTCTCTCTCTCTCTCTCTCTCTCTCTCTCTCTCTCTCTCTCTCTCTCTCTCTCTCTCTCTCTCTTTCTCTCTCTCCCTCGGTCATTTCGAGGACTGACGCTCGCGAATTTCGAGCTCGAATCTCTAAGCGTGTTCAGAGAGAGAGAGAGAGAGAGAGAGAGAGAGAGAGAGAGAGAGAGAGAGAGAGAGAGAGAGAGAGAGAGAGAGAGAGAGAGAAAGGGACATATTACTAATTATTTACAGTTCGATGCGCTCGAAAAAAGTAACTCGATCGGCAAGAGACGAATAATCTCGTTCAAACTAACTTTTGTTTTCTCATACTTTCTCTGTTCTCTTTACTTCGCACGATATAAACCGCTTGTAACTTGCAAATAGTGTAATCATCGACGTCGAGCTTTTCCGTGAGAAAGTGATGCGAATTTTTCGACAAATATGAGCGCGCCGTGGCCGATCCGTCCTGGAATATTACATCGGAAAAAGTTTGATCGCTCGCGAATGGTAAGTCCGACGAAGCTCCGACTTTCGTACTTGACAATTTTCCAACGATCATTTTAAAACGCAAATTCGACAGGTCTCTCCCTCCCTGATGTAAATTTTCAATCACAGCGAATCGACTGGTGACATTTCGGGATGAGCACGTGGAACGTTGACGCAAATTGCCAGTGAAAACATTCAGCGTCGCTCATTTAAAATCTATCGATATTCTGTTTACTACCGCTCTCTCGGAGAATCCGAGTGGCGAAATATCGCGAATGACGGAGTCGCAGTCCGAGAATAAAATGAAGCTGGCTTCTCTCTCTCTCTCTCTCTCTCTCTGTCCGTCTCATTTTCTTTCACATTCTTCGTCAGATATTCATCATTGGTAAACAAGAAATCGTCCATCGCGCGCAAAATCGGCGAAGAAGTTTCACGCGAATATCTTCGTGCGCTTCCACGAAGAGAAAAAATAGAGAACGCGCAAAGATCGCGCCGGAGTTCAGACGGACGACAAGACGCGGGAAAACACTGTCGCAGATGCAATTAATCACTCGTGGGTTGATGAATGCACTTTGCTGCAGAGTGCATCGACTGCGATCGTCGGGCTATCGTTTTTCGCCGATGAGGCTGCGACTTTGTCTCTTTTCGTTACGCGTTCGCGTCGCGTTATCGTCGACGTCATGAATCACGAAGCAAGGTGGTAGGTTGGTCTACAGAGAACGAACTTGATACCTCGCGTGTGTGTAACGGTGTCGGCCGTGTGACGTGACGTGACGACACGCTCGAATTATATTTAGAGGAATACGTCGATCACCAGAGGAAGACAAGAGGAGAAGGAGAAGGAGAAGAGGAGGAGGAGGAGGAGGAGGAGGAGAGAGAGAGAGAGAGGCAGAGAGAGAGAGAGGCAGAGAGAGAGACAGAGAGAGAGAGAGAGAGAGAGAGAGAGAGAGAGAGAGAGAGAGAGAGAGAGAGAGAGGGAGAGAGAGAGATCGACACTCTCGTGACGAGCTTTTCACAAAGCGGATCATTGTGTCGCGAAATTCCGTGACGGAAAGTAATTTCTCCGATCTCCGTGCTCGCGAAAAAGCGAGTCGATTGCGATAAACTGCGCGCGAATTTTGATGTAACGCGTTTTTGAAGCAATGTTCCAATGGTTTGTTCATTCGCGCCATTCGCGTCAAAAGCTACGCGAGGATTGAGCGCGAAAGGAAATCGGGCGGTCAGTTCTCGAGACGGAAGATAGACGCGCGTAATATTTGCGCGGTTCCTTCAGTCGTGTTCCTTCAGTCGCGAGAAATGAAGTGCCGGGCGAAAGATCGTAAGCAAAGAAACCGACGCGCGCTTTCCGATTGTGCGCTTGTTACTCGCAAAGCGCGTGTGTTGCAGCTGCTCTCGGAAAGAAGAAAGAATCATCCAGAATACAGTGTGACTGTTGTACTCTCTCGCACGATGCGCTATCTCTACTGCGTATCTGTTGCTGCAAATTAGCGTCGCGTTCGCGAGTGCGGCATAAGTGGACCTTCGATAATACGCTAATTCTCTATGCGCAATGCGCGACAGGTTTGGCTGGTGCGCGTTACATTATACGGCGCGGCGTGGTGCCGCGCGGAATGTTGATTCAGAGATCTCGGTCGACTTAGAAGACACGGTCTCCTCTTCGTGAAGAAGCAACTGCAACTGAGCAACTAAAGTTGCTCGACTCGAGAATTATTCAACTGTTATTGAAAATTCGTCGATCCCTCTCTCGCACTCTCCTAGATGCGCCGCATCCTGCGTCGCTAATGGTTCGTGCTATAATAGTCTACATCTGCTTGTTCTGTTGCAGGAGCAGAGAAGCCTGAAAGCTGGCGACCTGTCGCATCAGGAGAGCAATAACATGGCAGCGTCTACCATGAAGCTGCAGAGCGACTCGTTCAGCTCGGAGAAGGTGAGCGAACAATCCGATCGACTTTTCGTGGAGAACACGCGACTGACACTTTACTGAGAACACTTTCCTCACACATCTTGCCGAGATCGCTATACCTTATACGCACCGTACGCGTAACCTTAGATTATGCGAATTCAGCGACCCCGAAATAGCGCGAAGAATACAGTGTCTCTTGCTCCGATTGCTCCGGCTTACAAGTATTCTTTTTTTCTTTTTCCTTCTTCTCTTTCGCGGAACACGCGGATATTTCGGCCATTATATTTCGGCTGAGGGCTTGAGACGATCATCTCGCTTCATCATGGACTTCATTTCCCTCGACTGGAAAATCGCGCGAATATTGTTTCCGCTTCGCGGGAAAGATGCGGGACGCGTGCGATATTCTCGACTCTGCGGCACTTCTGGCGGACCACCAAATAACGCCGCGCAATAGCAGCGGCGGGGCAGCAGCACCGGTAGTCGAAATCGTAAATCGTCGTCCTTAACGACGTTAGATAGTGGCACGGTCCGCCACGTTTTGGCACGCGAGGTCGCGTCGGCGTTTTCTTACACCCGCCGCGACGCAAATGGACGGCCGCTAGACATTTTAAATGCTGACGAGCTCAACGTCGGAGCTCCAGTCGACACGTGAACACGCACTCGAGAGGCCGCGATCGGCAGAAAAGCGCGCGCGATCTCGCCACTTGACCACAGCGTTGAGGACGCTGACGATGCTGCGGAAGTGTAGTCTCGACTCGCGAATGGTAAACGCGCGCGCGCGGGGACGATCGGGTTCGTGAAGATCGCACGACCGAATGAATTTCTCGTCCGATATCGCGCAGATGCAGATGCAGATGCGCGAGAGTAGCCGCGAGTACCACGCGACAGAGTAGTAATTTATCATTCAGAGAGTATCACTCACGTCAATTAGTAGTATCGCGGAACGTTCTCACAGCCGCGGAGGAATCTTGCGATTCCTATCCCGAGATTCGGTCGTTTTATATTATAAGACACCATGTTCTTGAAAATCTCTCTCTCTCTCTCTCTCTCTCTCTCTCTCTCTCTCTCTCTCTCTCGGTAACACTCGGTTCGTCGCGGTAACGCGTCTCTTCCTCAGTACATACAGTACATATATCTTAGCAATTTTCACTCCGCAGAAAGCGATGGCGGCGCAGCAACAACGGCAGACGGTCACGTCGACCGGCATCTTCAATCACGAGAAGCACATAGCTGCCAGTTCACAGTCGAGCATCACAATCGCGTCCAAGGGCGTCACCTCCAAGTCGTCGATGATCAGCGCCGCGAGCGCGGTGAATCAGCTGATGAACGGCATACGGCCGGCCGAGGACGAGCTGCTGTCGTTGCCGTTGGACGACCTCGACCTGCTGTGCTCCAAGTCGAATCCGCAGGACGTTGATCGCGCGATTTCCAAATACTGCGGCTTCCTCGACAGCTTCGTGGAGAGGCTGAAGGCGAACGACGGCAGGAGCGGCAAGGCGCCGCTCTTGCTGAACAGAGTGAACGAGATCATCAGGAAGGCCTGGGCGGTGCCGACTCACGGCCACGAGCTCGGTTATACCTTGTGCAACACTCTGAGGACCCGCGGCGGTCTCGATATCCTCATGTCCAACTGCGTGGCGAACGATCACGAGCTGCAGTTCTCGTCGGCGAGGCTGCTGGAACAGTGCCTGACCACGGAGAATCGCGCTCACGTGGTGGAGAACGGCCTGGAGAAGGTGGTAAACGTGGCGTGCGTGTGCACGAAGAACGCCAACTCGGTGGACCACTCGCGCGTCGGCACCGGTATCCTCGAACACTTGTTCAAGCACAGCGAGGGCACATGTAGCGACGTGATCCGGCTAGGCGGGCTCGATGCGGTGCTGTTCGAGTGCCGAAAGAACGACGTAGAGACGCTGCGACATTGCGCGGGCGCCCTGGCGAATCTGTCGCTGTACGGCGGCGCCGAGAACCAAGAGGCGATGATCAAGCGGAAGGTGCCCATGTGGCTGTTCCCGCTGGCCTTCCACAACGACGACAACATCAAGTACTACGCCTGCCTGGCGATCGCCGTGCTGGTCGCCAACAAGGAGATCGAGGCGGCTGTGCTCAAGTCCGGCACCCTCGATCTCGTCGAGCCTTTCGTCACGTCGCACAACCCTTACGAGTTCGCCAAGTCGAACCTCGCTCACGCTCACGGCCAGAGCAAGAACTGGCTGGAGCGATTGGTGCCGGTATTGAGCTCGAAGCGAGAGGAAGCGAGGAACCTGGCGGCATTTCACTTCTGCATGGAGGCTGGCATTAAGCAGCGGCAGGGTAACACGGAGATCTTCCGGGAGATCGGCGCGATCGAGCCCTTGAAGAAAGTCGCCAGCTGTCCCAACGCGATCGCTTCCAAGTACGCGGCGCAGGCTCTGAGGTTGATCGGCGAGGAGATCCCTCACAAGCTCAGCCAGCAGGTGCCTCTGTGGTCGACCGAGGATGTCAGAGAGTGGGTGAAACAAATCGGCTTCGCCGAGTGCGCGGTCAACTTTGCCGAGAGCCGCGTCGACGGCGATCTGCTGCTGCAGCTGACCGAGGAGAACCTGCGCGAGGATATCGGCCTGACCAACGGTATCATGCGTCGGCGATTCGCCCGTGAGCTGCAGAACCTGAAGAAGATGGCCGACTATAGCAGCCGCGACACCGGTAATCTCAACAGTTTTCTACAGTCGATCGGCCAGGAGTTCTCCATCTACACGTACGGCATGCTGAACGCCGGCGTGGACAAGGAGTCGATACGCAACCTGTCGGAGGATCAGCTGCTGGCCGAATGCGGCATCACCAACAGCATACACCGTCTCAGGATACTGAACGCAATCAAGAACATGCAGCACAATCAGTTTAGCTCGTGCGAGTACGAGTCTCCCGACAAGTGCCTCGACGTGTTCGTTAGCTATCGCAGGTCCAACGGCTCGCAGCTCGCGAGTCTGTTGAAGGTACACCTGCAGCTACGCGGCTTCTCCGTGTTTATCGACGTAGAGCGACTCGAGGCCGGCAAATTCGACAACAATCTGCTGCAGAGCATCAAGCAGGCGAAACACTTTTTGCTGGTGCTCACGCCCCAAGCCCTAGAGAGATGCGTACAGGACAGCGAGTGCAAGGACTGGGTACACAGAGTGAGTTGTCGCAAATTGCGCGTTGGTCGCAGGTCTCGGGACCAACTGCTGATCACACGGCATGCATCTGATCCGATCCGATATCCGATATCTCGGCATCGGATGGTGCGCGACGTAACGTTTCAATAATTCGCAATATCGTTGCCGTCTCTGCAGGAAATCGTGGCTGCGTTGCAATCGGACTGCAACATAATCCCCATCATCGACCAGTGCTTCCAATGGCCAGAACCCGAGGAACTTCCCGAGGATATGCGAGCGGTCTGTCACTTCAACGGTGTTCGTTGGATTCATGACTATCAGGATGCCTGCGTAGACAAATTGGAAAGGTAAAGAGAAGCAACAACAAAGTGCGCGCACTCGGGGGCGGCTTGCTGGAAGCGAAGCTCGGGGAGCTTTAATTAATTACAAATTCTCCGCGACAATTCCCTCCCGAGGTTACACCAGAGAGTGGTGTATCATATTTTCAACATATTAGTTACGAATTATTCGTGAACGAGAAACTACGGCGACGGTACGATGTAGTGTTTCTCACAATCAAGGTTTATGCGAGGCGAGTTACCCATGAGACCCGACCTGTCCGGCGGAATACCGCGCAGCATGGCGCCCAAGGACGTGACTACGCCAAGCACACCGGGCAACACGAATATGCGACAACCGCCGAGCTATCAGCGGATGCACAGCAACGAGAGCAGGAGCAGCGACAAGGATTCCACGGGTGGGCGAGACTGACTAGAGGGCCCGCCCACAGCCATACCGAGCAGGTAATTATTCCGGGTCGTTCGGCGTGAGAGACGCGCATCGCGCGCGCGTCAAAGAGATCGAGACGAGAGAATCGATTCGTCCAAAGAGTCTCGGAGAAAGAAGTTTGAGGGTTTGCGGATGGAGAAAGACGAAGTCTAGACCGAAGCAAGACCGAGGCAAGACCGACTTTTCGGTGCGGTACTTTGTCCTAGCGAGGCTCGATCGAATCGATATTCACGCCGATCGTGAAGCATCCACTCTCTAGAGCAGCTCTAAATTACTAACGCAACTAATTCTTTTCTGTTTTCACGCAGCCAAGATTGCGAATCGTGCTAAGACAATCGCGACTAGGTCAGTCAATGATACAAATTCTCTTCATTGATGTTTACAAATTCGAGATGTGCCAATTCTCGTCCCTTCACCATCCCTTTGCCATCGCTTTGCCAAAATCCATCGGGCCCCCCTCCCCCCCCCTCCGTCCATGCGTATCGCAGATGCACTCTCAATCTTAAGTGTGCGCTCCGTTACACACGCGCATGTATGTGTCACCTCCTCCTGCCACAGACCTGTGTGTGCGATTCAACAAGGTGGTGGGTTTGGATCAACTACTAAATCGGTGTTGGACGTTTACTTCTTCCGCAATCTATATGTGGCGTCTAGAAGTTGTGCGTTTCTTGACGAGAGAGAGCCATCTCGTCTCGATGGTTCGCAACCGCATGACCCTAATTGTATCGAACGAATTCCCGGGACGTTCGATGCAAGAAGCATGGCTCGGAACATCGTTACAAGTTATGACGTTTGTGTCGTAGGCTTAGAAAATCGTCGAGTCCGTTCCGTTGGTTGATGGGTCTGCCGCCAGCGTCTCCTCGCTTCAAATTCGTACACGCGCATCCTGGTGACGGCAGCGGTAGTCCAGCGGTGCCTCGCAGACCGCCACGGCAGCAAGCACCACCGCCCTCTGCGCGTTCCCGCTCGCTGGAGCTGCTGGATCAGGGCCAGGACCAGGACGAAGAAAAAGAAGAAGAAGAAGAAGAGGAGGAGGCGGAGGAGGCGGAGGAGGAGGAGGAGGAGGAGGAAGAGCGAAAGTCCGCGATTTCTGCGACGATCGTGCAAACGCGACCGCCGCTTCCTAGACCGAGATCGCGTAGTCTGGACGGTCTGCTGGACGAGGATGCGAAGAGCGTAGGTGGCGGCGGGTCCTGCGATCGATCAGAGTCCTGCGAGCAGGACAGACAGAAGAGCAGCAAGAGTCATGTCGCACGAAAGCAAGAAGCTGCTGCCGTTGAGATCGTTACGTCCGTGGAAAATCCCATGCCGGTTCCCAGAGCAAGATCGAAGTTCGCCGAAGGCAGATTCGAGACGGAGGATACGCGGACGTCTTTGGATTCCAAAGATGAAAACGAGAAAGGAGGAACTCCACCGACACGTCCTCCGAAGCCGAATCGACGTTCCTCCAGTTTGGAAGGACGTCCATCGACATTGACAATATCCGGCAAACAATGCGACGAACAAGAGCGGCGTATCGAGGAACAAGAGACGATGCAGAATATATTGACCAGAGTCGGAGACATCGTCGGAAACGACGTGGACGATGACAACGACGACGACAGGTCGACGATATTGAAGGCGAGGAGCTGTGGTGCGGGATTGGACTCGGAGGATGGAAGCGTCTCGTCGAGCGAGTACGGCGGCAATAGGTCCGCGGATGCGAAGAGAGGCCCGGGCTCGTTACTGTCGTTACCGGCAGGCGCGGAACCCAAGCGCAAACGGAACTTTATGGACAAGTGTGTGAACAAGGTGCGGTCGTTTATGAGGAAGTGAAGGAGGCGATCGAACCGGCGTAAAAGTAAAGAGACTCGTCATTCAGTCTCGCGAGCCGAGACTCCAAGAATCCAAGTGCCCAACTCCGCGAGCCCAAACAACGACGTGACAAGCGTCACGCCAAAGAGCGTCTCGAAAGAAAAAACAAAAAAAATTAAAAGACCAATTGCGAAAAATTGTGAAAAATGTTATTTCAGACAATTGTCTCAACTATTCGTCCGAGAAATGTCACAGACGTTTGGAGAACCATTCGAAAGATTGTATCGAAAGGATCTTTAGAAAAATTTCAGGCAGCTCCTTTTTCATACGTCTGTAAAATTTATCAGCTGCTTAAAAAGAATGCGCGCAAAGAATGTGGAAGAGAAGCTTGTTGTTTGGAAATCTCGGGGTCGCCGAAAACGATACTTGAATCTCGCGGCATTACATAAAAACTTTATGTATTTAATTTATCTTAAATTTCGCGTGGACTTTGCGGTCCATCTCTTGTACAATGACAGGCAGCATGAAAGTACAGTCGCAAATGTTGCGCCTTGGACGTGAACAAGTGTCTTCGTAGAAGAAGCCTCAAGAGATTCGTCTCTCAAGTGGATTAGCCTGCTTTTCCAGGTGCCTTTTTGTATTTTCTCGTTGAATCGTGTACTGTGCGTGTATATGCACGATGAATAAAAGATTATATACATATATACATATATGTGTATACCACACACACACACACACACACAAAATATGTATGTATGTATGTATGTATGTATGTATAAACGAATCGAACGTTTAGCTAAGGCGGCTAGATTGTTATTTGTATTACTATTTTTCCAGGCAGTTCTTTATTCTTTAGACCGCGTCTAAAGATGTGTTGTTGTGACTCACGTCATCGCAAATTATGGTTGTTCTTGTAGCAGCTAATACTGGGAACAAGTTACACCGCGTACTAGGTGTTCGGTAGAACGTATGCGCATTGGCGACGATGTTCCTTACTGGAGGAATCGACCGATTTTCCCCCTGTTGGAGGTTCAATTGGTCAAAGTATCTTTCCGCATTGTAAAACTTATAGTATACACACAAACGTTGCTGCTTTCTTTCATCAGTTGCAAAAATTGCGTCTTAACCGTCTGTAAATAAAAAACCGTTTCGGTTGTCCGACGAATGCGCTCGAATTACCAAACACTCTGGTGCACAATCGCGACTGTTACCCCCGTATCTTTCTCGCGGGTCGCGATATTTTATTATTTAACATTGTTTTTATGGTATTCATCGTCGATTCATACGTTGAGATAATACTCTCTGAGTACTGAGAGTTTGAAAGCGGCAAACGCTTCGATATTCATAGTTTAAGAAGTACCACCCAATTATCTCGCAAACTTGTATATTTTACCAAAGTTTCGTAAAATGAAGATACGAATTTTATCGAGATGTTTGAATGTTTCTCCGAAATAAATTTTATTTAGCGAAATAACGGGTATAATCTCTCGGCCTGCCGTTTCTCTCTTACCGCTTCCTATGTCATCTTAAGCGAAAGAAGACGACGCATGAAGATCAGGTCAACGCTATTCTTTTTCCTTTGTCTTTTTTCGATTACATTATTGAAAATATGTGTGTACTTACCTATGATGAAAAATAATTTTACACGTACAAATAACGATACACATTCGGTTAAGCTACATCTGATGAGTGTGTTCAACATGAAATGATTTGCAAAATTCTACGTAAATATCATGGAACAAAAGATTCATTATTTGTCGATACTTTATATGGGAACATAAATAAATATTTCTTTCTTATTGTTATCTTGTAAAAGGACAACGAAAACGTTTATTACGTGTCGCTGAGTCTCATAACGCTCCTTACTTTTTTTTTATTTTCTTTTTATTTATTTTTTTTTTATAAGTAAGGATTAATACCAACACAATATGAGCGAGTTTATATTTGTACATCATCAGCACGAAATAATGACATTTATTCCTGTGCAATATCAATCCCTCTTTCGCTATATAATATTTATAACATTGTAGATGAAATTCGCTAAATTTACATCAGCTTTGTCGTCCTTGTCTCAGACCATTGGAAACGTCAGGAAAATTGTGTACGAAAACGTAAAAGTTTGATTCCTTGTCTCAACGATATCGTTGAACAGTTCTCTATTTAATAAATCAATCGTTCTTTCTTCTTCTTTACTGTTTGCGCGAGAATTGTGTGCGCAAGTGACGATAAACTTCTCTAATAGCACAGATCTCCAGAGGACGTCCAGAGGATGTTTCTTTATCCTCAGGAATGTCCTTAGGACGTCCCAAGGAGAACTTGTGTGTGCTATCAGGACTATTTGTTTCTACTCTCCTTTCGGCATTCATCCCTGGCATTCATCTGGTTCACTTTTGAGTCTTTCCACAAGAATGATTTAGAAATATTGACATCGAAACGTAACAATGAGATTTTATCGGTTGATGATGTCGTTACGACCGCGCAACCTACGTGTTAGAATCATGTCGTTTCGCGTCAGAGTCACGCGTTTCGCGTGTAACGTTAGCAGCTCTGCGTCTTCGAAGAATTGTACGATGTACATCTCCGTAGCCTCTTGAAGGGCTTCGAGAGCGGATGCTTGTAGTCTGTAAATTATACCAATTTCTTTTATTTGATGCAAACTGGCTACTTCATCCGTTGGGTACTGCATGGAATACAATTACACTTACCAATTTTGTTTTCCTATGGGATAAACTATTTAAAATATTTAAAGATTTATAATATCTGGCACTTTTACTGAGATTTTATTTGATTATGTGATATAGGCGTCATATAGGAATCATTGATATGTCGTTACTTATTTCTATATTTTTTTTTTATATTTCAGAAAATATAAATATACTATCGGTAAGACCAGATATTAGAGATATTAGATTGAAATAGCTAGAGATACAAATTATGTTACAGATGTGAAAACAATTAGGTTGAAAATCTGACACATGTTTGCAACCCTTTATTACATACATGTATCTAAGTAGAATGAGGTGCATACAAAGAAAAACAGTTATTCACCTGTTAATACCTTGTCTGGGGAATATCTCGAGGATAATTTCTCTAACTAAACGTGCAAAGGGTAGTCTAGGAATCAGCAAGTGAGTAGTTCTCCTCAGATGTTTAATCTCTTTTAGTACCGGCAGTCTCTTCTTTTTATGTATTATCGAACTTTTCTAAAATAATTGTCCGAGATTTTAAAGCGAAAAGTTGTTAAAAGAAAAAAAATTTATTCACCGACTAAAGATTCAATTTGATTCAACGATATCAGACAGATACCGAATAGTGGTTTAGTAATTTATCACTTACTTTGTTTCGCTTTCCTTCTGGAGAAGCATCAAAATGTGAACGGTGTGACCTGAAATGCATTCGATGAGTTATGAAAATTCTGTTAAAAATGAAGACAATCAAAGTAATACAAACGTTATACGTTAATCGTGTAATAATAATATTAATATTATTAGAAGCATACATGTTAGAAATAATGATATAACTAGACTGATGGAAAGTATGTTATTTTATTAATATTTTAAATGATATTAAATATGTGAGGAGTAATTGACATTAAGAAAGGAAAAATACGGGAGGTAAAATACCGGCATGTGCTTTCTTCAGTATTTTATCAGATTATAATATCTTAAACAATATTCCCTTAGATATTAACCTTGGTATAGGTTTCCGCCGGACCATATTTTATGTGTAACTGACAGCAGGACGAAGGTTTTTCTTACTTGTTAACACAAAGCACAATATCCTTTAACTTATTTGTGTATCGAATATTGTCAAAATATAAAAAAAACTGATATAAACTAAACGTCAGTTTCGTCTGTTTACGATGAAAACTTCGTATGTCGGTCAAAGAGCATTTGGCGCGTTACCTCATAAACCTAACCTTCTAATACAACATACCATGAACGACAATAGGATGAACATAGAGGGTGTATAAACGTGTAGAGAGAAGCATAGTGTAGAAATACAAATGGTGTGTTCTTTGTAGCTGCACTGTTGAACTGGTACAATAAGTTAAAGCGAGACAAATATAGGTTTTCTCACTCTAGCCTATTGCATCAGTTTAGCAGTGCAGCTACAAAGACAGATCAAAAAAGTGAAGCTCTTCTCTTGGAAGTGCAGTAACACTGACGAGTTAAAAGGGAGTTTTTGCAATACCATCTCTGAGATACGGTAAACGTTAATCGTGAATGTCATTGATCGCATACATGGCGACGCGCTCTTTCTGAGCGAATAACGTTCACGGTATTGCAAAACTTTTTTCTATAATATATATATATTTTTATTTATAAAAATATATATATATTATAATTATAATTATAAAGGCCGTTAACCCTAAGTCGAGCACCGACCGAGGTAATACCAGAGAGAAATCTGAGAGCGGCCAACGGGCCGATTACGCTGGGACGTTTTTTCCGCCGAAATCCGTTGCGCCACCTGAGAAAATGTGCGCACACTACATCCGTCCTGACGGACTAATGGCAAAGCGTGCCACGGTTCTTGCTCACTCTACTTCCTTAAGGAAAATAGTAAGAAAATAGTAAGAAAAGCACAGACGATCAATTGCTCTCCATCTTTGTCGCACCACCGATGAGCGAGCGAGCGTGCGGCATGAGGGGAGGCAGGAGGCCGAGAAAGCGGCACATCTTATCGCTAAACTAGATCGCTCTCTCGTCTTGCCCCCTCCCCAACTCATCTTTCGCGCAACGCACCACTCGCAATTCGGGAAGAAATATTTCGAGATCGCGCGGACAACTTCTAGCAATGACTACGTTTACACGGCTTCTAACTTCGACTTAGTAACGCTAATGTTATAACTCCTACTTAAGGTGAGTTGCGTTTACACATTTACGCTTATCTATTTGAAATAACTTAATAACTTTCGAGTGAGTCAAGGATTTCCATTAGTACCAATATAAAAGGCCGAAAAATGAAATGATTGTGATTGTAGTCTGAATATAAAAGAATTAGAATATGAAAAGAATAGTATGTAAATAAATCAACAAATAAAGAATGAACTTTTAGGTTATATTATGAATTTGAAAATTATAAAATATGTATATATCTATATAGTAAAATTTATATAATAAAATATAATATTTAACTAAAAATGAAATTAAAATTTTAGGTTATCAATTTTGGAAAAAATTAATCATGGAAAATATGGAAAGCGTACGCTCGTTTGTTGCTATATATTTGAAAATAGTAGAAAATATGACGATGCAATATACACTATATGTACGAAATATTTTTATTAAACGGCGAAAGCGTCAGAAAGAAATTATATTACAACATTTGTTGAATTTGAACACCACCAAATCATTTGCTTGACCTCGGACCCGTATTACAATTTTCACGACATAAATCAATTTTACAATCAAGTTAAGATGTTCAATTTTTATATTGGTATTATTGTCATATTTACACTGCGTCCGTTTACACGTCTTCCTTACGTCGATGTAGAAATTCTAAGGGCCACCACACGTAGAAAAATTGTAACCGTAAAGTTGTAAGAAAACTGACCAATCACAGTCGATTATTATAACAGGTCACAAGAGAAAGGATCGACTGTGATTGGTCAGTTTTCTTACAACCTTACGGTTATGGTTAACAGTTTTCTACGTGTGATGGCCTCAAAGGTCATTCTACAATACGTGTCGTAAGTTGTAAGCCGTAAGAACTGACCAATTATAGCCGATTATTATATAGCTGTATCTCTAACCGTTTAGGAGATATCGAAGGTTAAAGTTTTCCAACCTTTCTCCGTCGATATCCATCCTTCATCCGTCGATATCTCCGCTTCTACTGGGAGTAGAGAGTCGTCCATGCAGTCCAAAATGTAGGGTTTTGAAAGGGCTTTAATTTGGTACCTGTCCGAAGCCTGTATCTCTAACCGTTTAGGAGATATCGAAGGTTAAAGTTTTCCAACCTTTCTCCGTCGATATCCAGCCTTCATCCGTCGATATCTCCGCTTCTACTGGGAGTAGAGGGTCGTCCATGTAGTCCAAAATGTAGGGTTTTGAAAGGCTTTAATTTGATACTGTCCGAAGCCTGTATCTCTAACCGTTTAGGAGATATCGAAGGTTAAAGTTTTAATGCCTTTCTCCATCGATATCCATCCTTCATCCGTCGATATCTCCGCTTCTACTGGGAGTAGAGGTCGTCCATGTAGTCCAAAATGTAGGGTTTTGAAAGGGCTTTAATTTGGTACCTGTCCGAAGCCTGTATCTCTAACCGTTTAGGAGATATCGAAGGTTAAAGTTTTCCCAACCTTTCTCCGTCGATATCTCCGCTTCTACTGGGAGTAGAGAGTCGTCCATGTAGTGCAAAATGTAGGGTTTTGAAAGGGCTTTAATTTGGTACCTGTCCGAAGCCTGTATCTCTAACCGTTTAGGAGATATCGAAGGTTAAAGTTTTAAACCTTTCTCCGTCGATATCCATCCTTCATCCGTCGATATCTCCGCTTCTACTGGGAGTAGAGGTCGTCCATGTAGTCCAAAATGTAGGGTTTTGAAAGGGCTTTAATTTGGTACCTGTCCGAAGCCTGTATCTCTAACCGTTTAGGAGATATCGAAGTTTAAAGTTTTCCAACCTTTCTCCGTCGATATCTCCGCTTCTACTGGGAGTAGAGAGTCGTCCATGTAGTGCAAAATGTAGGGTTTTGAAAGGGCTTTAATTTGGTACCTGTCCGAAGCCTGTATCTCTAACCGTTTAGGAGATATCGAAGGTTAAAGTTTTCCAACCTTTCTCCGTCGATATCCAGTCTTCATCCGTCGATATCTCCGCTTCTACTGGGAGTAGAGAGTCGTCCATGTAGTCCAAAATGTAGGGTTTTGAAAGGGCTTTAATTTGGTACCTGTCCGAAGCCTGTATCTCTAACCGTTTAGGAGATATCGAAGGTTTAAAGTTTTCCAACCTTTCTCCGTCGATATCTCCGCTTCTACTGGGAGTAGAGAGTCGTCCATGTAGTGCAAAATGTAGGGTTTTGAAAGGGCTTTAATTTGGTACCTGTCCGAAGCCTGTATCTCTAACCGTTTAGGAGATATCGAAGGTTAAAGTTTTATAACCTTCCTCCGTCGATATCCATCCTTCATCCGTCGATATCTCCGCTTCTACTGGGAGTAGAGGGTCGTCCATGTAGTCCAAAATGTAGGGTTTTGAAAGGGCTTTAATTTGGTACCTGTCCGAAGCCTGTATCTCTAACCGTTTAGGAGATATCGAAGTTTAAAGTTTTCCAACCTTTCTCCGTCGATATCTCCGCTTCTACTGGGAGTAGAGAGTCGTCCATGTAGTGCAAAATGTAGGGTTTTGAAAGGGCTTTAATTTGGTACCTGTCCGAAGCCTGTATCTCTAACCGTTTAGGAGATATCGAAGGTTAAAGTTTTCCAACCTTTCTCCGTCGATATCCATCTTCATCCGTCGATATCTCCGCTTCTACTGGGAGTAGAGGGTCGTCCATGTAGTCCAAAATGTAGGGTTTTGAAAGGGCTTTAATTTGGTACCTGTCCGAAGCCTGTATCTCTAACCGTTTAGGAGATATCGAAGGTTAAAGTTTTCCAACCTTTCTCCGTATCCCGATATCTCCGCTTCTACTGGGAGTAGAGAGTCGTCCATGTAGTGCAAAATGTAGGGTTTTGAAAGGGCTTTAATTTGGTACCTGTCCGAAGCCTGTATCTCTAACCGTTTAGGAGATATCGAAGGTTAAAGTTTTCCAACCTTTCTCCGTCGATATCCATCTTCATCCGTCGATATCTCCGCTTCTACTGGGAGTAGAGAGTCGTCCATGTAGTCCAAAATGTAGGGTTTTGAAAGGGCTTTAATTTGGTACCTGTCCGAAGCCTGTATCTCTAACCGTTTAGGAGATATCGAAGGTTAAAGTTTTCCAACCTTTCTCCCGTCGATATCTCCGCTTCTACTGGGAGTAGAGAGTCGTCCATGTAGTGCAAAATGTAGGGTTTTGAAAGGGCTTTAATTTGGTACCTGTCCGAAGCCTGTATCTCTAACCGTTTAGGAGATATCGAAGGTTAAAGTTTTATAACCTTTCTCCGTCGATATCCATCCTTCATCCGTCGATATCTCCGCTTCTACTGGGAGTAGAGGTCGTCCATGTAGTCCAAAATGTAGGGTTTTGAAAGGGCTTTAATTTGGTACCTGTCCGAAGCCTGTATCTCTAACCGTTTAGGAGATATCGAAGGTTAAAGTTTTCCAACCTTTCTCCGTCGATATCTCCGCTTCTACTGGGAGTAGAGAGTCGTCCATGTAGTGCAAAATGTAGGGTTTTGAAAGGGCTTTAATTTGGTACCTGTCCGAAGCCTGTATCTCTAACCGTTTAGGAGATATCGAAGGTTAAAGTTTTCACCTTCTCCGCGATATCCATCTTTCCGTCGATATCTCCGCTTCTACTGGGAGTAGAGAGTCGTCCATGTAGTCCAAAATGTAGGGTTTTGAAAGGGCTTTAATTTGGTACCTGTCCGAAGCCTGTATCTCTAACCGTTTAGAGATATCGAAGGTTAAAGTTTTCCAACCTTTCTCCGTCGATATCCCGTTCTACTGGATAGAGAGTCGTCCATGTAGTCAAAATGTAGGGTTTTGAAAGGGCTTATTTGGT